TCAAGAAAGGCAGTTTTAGCTTTAATAAATCAAAATCAAAAAATGTTAAGAGAACTTTGCGTAATACTTTAAGCCAGGAAACTGGTTAGGATTCTGTTTGAATAGTAGGTACATAGACCTGTCCACAACTTAAGAAAAGACAAAACTCCTTAACACTGGAAAACAAAGCATAAAAGGTCAGTAATGTTTTAGTCAAAAGTCATAAAATTCTATTTCACCAGTTCAAACTCTTGCACTTTATCTTCTGCTGTGGTCTGATCTCGCCATTTAAATTCGGAAGATAACGTTCAATTCTGTACTTGCCCTACCATTTAGCTGGCCATTTTCTTAGCTGTTTTAGAACTCTTATTTCTGTATGTCTGAATTTAGTTTTCCTGGGATAGCACTCCCTTCAGAACTTCTTGGAGAGCTGGTCTGGTGTTGGTAAATTCTTTCAAGGTTTGTTTATTTGAGAATGTTCTTGTCTTCTCTTCCCATATGAAGGATAATCTTGCCAGGTATAGTATTCTTGGTTGAAACTGTTTTTCATTCAACACTTTGAATATATTTTCCCTTTCTTTCCTTGCTCATATTGTTTCTGATAAGAGGTCTGCTGTTAGCCTGATGGTATATCCTTTGTACATAACATGGCGTTTCTCTCTTGCTAGTTAAGTATCTTGTCTTTGTGGTTTTAGTCAGTCAGGCTATAATATGTCTTGGAGAAGATCTTCTTAGGTTGATCTTATTTGTTGTCCTTTGTATTTCTTGGGTCTGGATCTTTGAATGCCCTTCTAGCTTTGGGAAGTTTTCTTCTAGGATTTCATGTAATAGATTGCCAATGCCCTTATTAGTCTCTTCACCTTCTGGGATACCGATTATCCTGATGTTTGGATGTTTAATGGTATCTAGTATTTCTCATATATTATTCTCTCCTGTTTTTGGCTGTTTTCTCAGTCTTCATGGTGGATTTTACTAGTCCAGCGATCCTGTCTTCTACATCTGAGATTCAGTTTTCTGTATGATCTAGTCTGCTTTTAATACTTTCAAAGGAGGTTTTAACTTCCTGTATTATAGCCTTCATCTCTAATAGTTCCATTTGACTCTTTTATGGTGTTCCATTTGACTCTTTTATTTTCTCTTTTAGCTCTCGCAAGAAATTCCTCAACTCCTGGGACTCATTGGCTTTTTTCTTCTATTGTTCATTGTCCCTCTTCTCTTCCATCTCTAAATTATGAATACTTTAAATTCTTTATCAGACATTTCTCATGATTTCCATTGTACTGTCTGTGGATGAGGAGGAGTTATTCTTTTCCCTAGGGGGTGAGGTATTTTCTTGGTTTCGCATATTTCTTGTAACCCTGTGGTGATTTCTAGTCATCTGATGGGTTATCCGTTTCTTCCTAAATTCTAGATCAATCTGAGCAGTCAGAGGCTCACAGGAGGATGTGGTCTACGAACTCTTTGGCGTTGTGTTTTTCTCCCAGGGTAGATTCTCAGCAGAACATCTTCATTGCTCTTATCTCTGAAATCACTAGATCTCAGCTCTCATGGCCTCAATCTTTTCTAATATGTTATCTGAAGTAATGAAAAGCCAGCTCCATGTATTGGGTCATCGGGAAAGTCATGATGTATTTTTTTCTGTTTTTCCTATGCAAAAGTATGTCATGACTTTTCCAATGACCCAGTAGATAGTTGGAAAAGAAAGTATTTCTTAGACACCTTGATAAGATCGGGGTGGGGACCTATAGAATTTGGAGAACTTTAGGATGGGGAAATTAAGTCTAGATTCACTGTCTTTAGGTCCTTTGGTGCCGATTTTGAATGCTGCAATTTTTATTGCTAACAATGAAGGTGTCTAGACCTGTGTGTTGATATACTAGTCACTAGCCCCATGTGATTGTTGAACAGTTGAAATGTGGCTAGTCTGAATTGAGATGTGTTGTCAGTGTAAAATATACACTAGATTTCAAAGACTTAGTTAAAAAAAAATGTAAGATGTCTCTTAAGAATTTCAGGGAGGGGCCAGCAGGGGGTGTGGTGGTTCAGGGCACTGGACTTCCTTCCACATGGCCGACCACAGTTCGAGTCCTGGACCTGGCAGCTTGCTTTCTCACTTTACTTTCTCTCCTCACTGGTCAAATTAAAATAAAGAAATAAAAGTTAAATAATTATTTAAAAAAAAAAGAATTTCAGGGACAGCCAGTGGTGTGGTGGTTAAGTCAGCTGAATCTCACATTGGTGACTGGGAGGTTTGAGTCCTGGACCTGGTGTCTTAAAAAAATACTCTGAGTGTGTGTTTGTGCTTGCCAAAGATCCCAAAAAGAAGGAGAAATGGAGCAGAAGGAATTGCAACATAACCATCTCCCAAGGAGTATGCTTTCTCATACCCCTCCCCACCCTGTTGGCATATATAACTTAAATTTTAAAAAAAATTTTTAAGCCACTAGGTCAGGGACTTGAACTATGGTCAACCATGTGGGAATCCAGTGTCTTAATCACTGCACCACCTGCTGGCCCCAAGACTTAGATATTTCTGAAAAGGGATAGTGGTGTTTGCCATATCACATGGTCTTGTCAGATCACGATTCTTCCTGCCTTAGCCTCCCAGTCAGCTAGAACCTCAGGTGCACACCTTTTCTCCTGGTCTATTTAGGTTGGGTTGGGAACCAAACCCAGGTCTCCCCTGTGGTCTTAGCCATTGCTCAATGGCACCTCTTTACCTCTGCCACCATGACTAGGTAACATTTATTTTTTTTTCTTTAAGAATTATTTTATTTAACTTTATTTATTATAGTTTGACCAGAGAGGGACGAAGTGAGAGAGAGTGAAAGTGAGAAAGCAACTCGCCAGGTCCAGGACTCAAATTGCAGTCGGCCATGTAGGAGTCTAGCGCCCTTAACCACCACGCCACCTGCCAGCCCTAACATTCATTGTTTCTATGTTTTCCTATGTGATGGCAAAAGCTAATAAGACTGATTACTTTATAATCTGTATCTTGAGCATCTAGAGTTGTACCTAGTCTGTAATTCTGTTAGCAGTTTTAAAATCAGTTCCTTCTTAGTTTTGGAGAAAACAGATAGAATTATGTTTTATAGGTGGTTATGGAGCTACAGCTTTAAATATGAAGCGTGATCCTTTACATATTAAAACCAAAGGAGAAGAATTTCCTCTGACTCTGGGTCGGGATGTGTCTGGTGTGGTGATGGAATGTGGGCTTGATGTGAAGTACTTCAAGCCTGGAGATGAGGTGAGTTAGGAAACTGCTCTTCCTTTTCTAAATGTGCCAATTTTATTCTCCTCCTTTTGGAGTATATTATTCCATACTGTTGACTTTTTTTTTTTTTTTTTTCCCTTTCAACAAATATACTCAAGTTTGGCTAGAATATTCATTTTCTTGGTTCCTGGTTAAGTTTTTACAATACCAAAAGAACTTGACTCTACTTGAGTTTTCTAAAGGTAGTGCTTAAGAATTGTAAGACTTTAACATGTGTATGATTTGGACTATTTTTTCTTGAAAGAGCCTTTAACAAGGCTCTTTTTCTACCTTTATGGATTAGAGAGTCTTTTCTTTTTTAAAGAGTTTTTTGCTATAGGGTATGTATGCTTGACAGAGAGACAGCAACAGATAGAAAGTGAAAAATTAGCCCTGGGAGGAAAATGGCCATACCACAATCTCTTCTCAGTCTCTTGGGATTTTGGGCATGCACACTCATGTGCCCAGGGTAGGTTTTAAGCCACCAGTTTCAGGACTTAAACTGTGGTCAACTACATGGGAGTCCAGTGACGTAACCATTACGCCATCTGCTGGTCCCAGGTTAGACAGTTTTAAGATAAGCTGAAGTTTGGTATGATCACTGGTCACTTTGTACTTTTTGTACCAGGAAATGAGTGAGCCTATAAACAGTAGCTGAAACAGTCCAGGTTCCTTTTCATAAAGTAACTCATTTAATCCCTACAAAGTGGGTATAGTTAGGCTTAGTTTGCAGATGAGGAAGCCAAACTGTAAAGAGACCCCATTGCTATTAAGTGGTAGAGCCAGAATTCATGGCCCAGAGCCTTTCGTCTTAATGGTCCTCTAAGTAGTCAGTAAATGCAGCACAATATACTGGCATCTGCTTCCACTGTGGCTTGATAATAAATCCAGAACCATGCTACGTAATTTATATCATGTGAGAAGAACCATTTTGCTTCACGCGTGGCCAACATATGCATTTTTCAGGGCTGAGTGTGTGTTGGGGTTTCCCTTATGCTTAGCTTTGGTAAGAAGATATCTGTGTCTCTCACGTAGCTGTGCACATATTTGTGTTTCAGGTCTGGGCTGCAGTTCCTCCTTGGAAGCAAGGCACTCTGTCAGAGTTCGTCGTGGTCAGTGGGAATGAGGTAACTCGCCAACTACTGAAATGTCACTAGAAAGAATAAACAGACTGACAGACAGCCCTGAAGTAATTGATTGTTTTCAGATCAGCTCATGTTTTATGGGCAACTTTGAAGGAGCGAAGGATACAGAATAGGAATTTTTAAAGGATTAAAAGAGTATATGGTGTCATTTAATAACACTGGCTGCCAAAGTCGTCTTTGTTTCATGGAGTGGAAATTTGGAATCAGATCTAGAACTCTGTTGTTTCAGTTTTACCTAGTCAAAATAATTGAAACCAAATATAGCTAGTAGAAAGTATGGACTAATTATAAACAGAGGAATCGAAATATCAAGCTGTTTTAAGTCACTTTAAAAACAAGACTCTAATCAAATGCATTCAGGAGGCCTGATAATCTGGAGAGAAAGAGAGTAACTTTGAGGAAATTGGCTCTAGAAGGGAGGGCAAAAAGGGAAAAGGGGGTGTTACTGACACTAGAGAAAGCCTAGAAAACTTACTTTTTAGAAAATAGGAGTAAAAGAAATAGCTCATTTTGAACACAAATTAGAATGTGTTTTTAAGGGCTCTAGGTTTATTTGAATTTATTTCTGGGTATTGTCAAGATCAGTGGGATTACTGAGTGTGGTTACTTTAAAATAGTGAAGTAGCTATATCTGCTCTTGTCATCTACAGAACATTACCAGGGGCGCCAGCAGGTGGTATGGTGGTTAAGGCTCTGGACTCTCACATGGCCAACCACGGTTTGAGTCCCAGACCTGGACACTTGCTTTCCTACTTTCCCTTTCTCTCTCTAGTCAAATCAGGCAAATGATAATAAATAATAAAATAAAATAATTCTTTAAAAACAAACAAACAAAAAACATTACTGGGCCTCTGTAAGGCAGGTAGAACTGTTTGGAGATTATTCCTTAGGGACATTCCAGGAGTATGGTACGTAGTAACCACTGAATGTGGAAGAATTTTACAGATTTAGTTATGAAAATTTCTCTGAAAATAAACGTGCCTAATTGTATTCATAGGTTTACAAGTCATCGCTTACTTCTGACTCCTGTCTTCAAATCTAGGTTTCTCACAAGCCCAAATCACTCACTCATACGCAAGCTGCCTCTTTGCCATATGTGGCTCTCACAGCCTGGTCTGCCATAAATAAGGTTGGCGGCCTGAACGACCAGAATTGCATGGGAAAACGGTAAGTGTATCAGTGGTGGCCGCTCGGCCTCCCTTCTTTGCTTCTGCGAGTCCTTGCAGTAGTGTCATCAGAAGCACTGAAATTAGGTTCACTTAAACATTGAGCAGAATTAAATGTACTGACATTGGTAATAATTTAAAAAAAAAAAAAAAAACCTGTCAGTTTGTACTTTCTTAATCTCGTTCTGTTATCATTCTGATCAAATGGGAACTTTTAAAAAGTTTTTATTTTTATTTCTTTCATTTGAGAGAGAGGAGGAGAGAGACAGGTACCCTTGGCAGGGACTGGCCATTGCCATTATCCCACCCCCTGCTTCTAGCCAGTAACGATCACAGGCACACTCTGCATGTTCAGGTCAACCCAGGGTCTGAACCTGCAGCCTCCCATGAGTTTCTCTGTTGAGCCGTGGCACCCTGCCCACCACCTGCACCATTGTGACTGGACCTCAAATGGAAATTTTAAAACTGAGATATGTAGATGGGCTTTAGGAATCTGAACCTTCTAAACTAATGTAGAATTTCATATGTGACTCTCTGGAAAGAAGATCCATAGCTTTTATCAGATTCTTACAAAGAATAATCCCTGATTATTTATTTAATTTATTTTTTTAAAAAATATTTATCTTATGTATCATTATTACTGTTATTATTTTTAAGTTTTTGCTATAGGGCATGTGTGCTCACCAGAGAAAGACAAAGAGAGAAAGGGAAAGTAAGAAAGCAAGCCTCCAGGTCTGAGACTTGAACCACAGTCAGCCATGTGAAAGTGCAGCCCCTTAACCACCATGCCACCTGCTGGCCCCTATTTATGATTTAGTTTCTAAAAAAATGATGTCATGGTGAAGTATTTTTTCCTACCTATACCAGGAGTTGCCCTCATACTTGTCTGTTTCTCTGAAAATGAGATATGAAGGGATTGTGAAACATTAATATTCTCGAATGCCCTGAGGCTCAGTACTTGCTGTTTTTTGGGTCAATTCTGATTCTCCAGTGCCTTAAAGGTGTGCTAGCTGAGGTTAGCAACAACACAGCGACTAGAAATGTCTGATGTTCTTGAGTCCCTTGCAGCTACTGCTGCTTTCTCTTTAGGTGACCCACTCAGTTGCTTTCTTGCACGAGTGAGCTATGTTTTGCATGTTAAGTGAGATGACAACATAAAACTGCTGTCCAGGTTCTGGTGCATGGGAGGCGCCCAGTAAGTGGTGAATACTATTATTAGCAAGGAGATTATAATCGTAATTTAGAAAGTTGACATGATAGAGGAAACTGATGATTTTGTTTTTTAGTAAGAAAACTAGGTATTAAGAGCTAGTTGTGGTTGTAAGGATGGAGAGAGCTGTAGGTTAAATTATAATAAATTAAAACAAGCTAGTTTTTTTTAACTGAAGATTATGCATGTAAATGTCTGTCAGTCTATGTTGTTATAAAGTATTGCATTCACATTAATGTGTGAGTGGTAGAGCATTGAATTTAATGGAAATTTTTTTTTTTTTAAGAATTATTTTAGGGACCAGCAGTTAGCGTAATGGCTATGTTGCTGAACTCCCATGTAGCCGACCGCAGTTCGAGTCCCTGACCTGATGTCTTAAACTCACGCCGGGCGCGTGTGCATACATGCCCAACATCCCCTGAAGACAATGGAGGAGAAGGGATTGTGGCGTGGCCATCCCCCCGGGGCGTTGATTTCTTGCTTTCTGTCTCTCTGTCTCTCTGTCTTTCTGGCAAGCATACACACCCTATAGCAAAAACCTCTCAAAAAAATTATTTTATTTAAATTTATTTATTTATTTATTTGATCAGAGAGGGAGGGAGGAGAAAGAGCAAGCCTAGGTCCAGGACTCAAATGACATTTGGCTATGTGGAAGTCCAGCACCCTTCTAGGTCTGGGACTCAAATGACATTTGGCTATGTGGAAGTCCAGCACCCTTAACCACCACACCACCTGCCAACCCCAAGCATTGAATTGAATGGAAGTTTAATAGCTGTGTTTCTGAAAACATTGTGAAGGCCATTTACCTAATGAGTTGCTACCCTGTATCTTTGAATTCAAGGCAGATATTTATTCTAAAGGTTGGTACTGTTTATTTTTTAAGCTTTTGCACTTATGTTTCCTGAAGTTGCCATTTTGGTAAACATTTTATTTAAATTTAATTTTGATCGCATAGATTTTTAAAATTAGTTTGTTTTAGTTAGTGGCCTTGTGAAAATTTTACTCAAGATTTTTTAGGACCCCTCCCCCCCCTTTATTACTGGAGGCTCTGCAACGGTGTTGGTGATTGTTGTAGGGTTTTCTCCCCCAACGTTAGACTTTCTGTGCCTGGATAACTATATGTGCTCTATAGTTAGAGAACCCTCATTCCTTTCATGGGTTCAGTTCTCCTGGGCATACTTTTCCTAAGCTGTAGAAATGAGTTTAGAAACAAAGATCTAGCTGTCTCTTCTCAGACAAAGGTGCGAGCCCCAGTTTATTATTGGTTCTGGGGGTAATTATTTGGGACTGTTGTTATCTTCTGTTTGAGAAATTATTGCCTGGAACTGGGTAATTGGAGTTCTGGATCCTGTTCTCCATGTTACCATTAACTAACCAGGTGACCACATGCTATTTATGTCTCTGTAGCTTCCTCTCTGTTACTGACAATAATACAGTGTAGTGTGTGTTGTGTTGAGAGAACTTTGAGAAGTAGACAGTTTATAATCTTGTAAGTATTGGGTTTGTTTATTGATTTAGCTACATGTTAACCAAACTAAAGTAAAATCCATCATAGTCTCTCAATAATTCACATCAACTTCTGCTGCATTGTCATGTACGTAGTGACCTATAGAATGTAAATGTCTCAAGGTGCAGTGAGACACGTTGGTGTCTTAGTGTGACATTCAGGCTGCTGTAACAAAACACCATAAACTGATGGCTTATAAACAACCAAAATTTATTTTTTCACAGTTCTGGAGTTAGGAAGCCCAATAGCAAGGTGCTAACAGATTTGGTGTCTAGTGAGATCCAACTTTCTGTCACTCTGATAGAAGTACTTGTATTAGAAAGTGTTAGACATTGAACTATTCAATTCTCTTTTATGTTGTGTACTCTTGAAACTCAATGCAGCAAATTTAGTAATACATTTCACTGTTTCTTCTGTGAGATTAGGTGTAATGACAGTAAAACTTTGTCATGTAAGTGTAAATTAGGTGTCTGTTTACAGAATTAGGCTCGAACTTAAAAGCTTTGGATATCTTTCCCACCAATACGTTCATATCAAAATTAAAATGACTGCCTAGTAATTATAGCAGCTTTCTTCTTTCACCTATCTTCCACTGCCTGTTCATTACCTCCCCACCTATTTCTCCCCTTACTCTGGCCACCCCTGTGGACTTTGGGTTTTCATTTGCACCTGACTAGTTGTGTTTTTAAAGGGATGAGGAATGGGGGCAAGGGGTGGGTGGACTGCTGTTTACTGGCTGGAGGAAATGGAGAGGTTGGGGGAAGATAAGAGCTTGAGCAGTGGCTCTGGCTTGACCAATGTGATGCAAATATTTCTCTGTTCCTTGGCCTGTTTTCCAGGGATCCCCCAGGGGACTCAGTGAAAGGAATAGTGGAAACCTCACACATGGCCATTTGTGTTTTACAAATGAGCTTTCTCCTGGTGAAGGGTGACTATCCTGGGACGTTTAGAAGACTGTACTGTTCTGTGCGTTGTAATCTAGCATCTTGCCTGGCTGTTAAGCTGCCACTGCTCTCACTGGGCCATGGTTCACCAAGGTGCCAAGCCAGAGACACTTTTCAGTCTATATTTTAATTTGATCTCTCTGCAGTATATGGCACTGTTGGTCACTTCCCTGATACTTTTGTGGTTTGACTTCTTTAGTTTTCTGACCATTTCTTCTCATGTTTTAAAAGCCCCCTCCTCTCCTTTCTTCCTCCAACCCCTTAAGTGTGTGGTTTTCCCAGCCTTTCACTTGTCATTGCTCTGTCTCTCGGGGCTATTTTGCCTATTCCCAGCTTTTGCTTATAGCTTGGTAACTTGTATTTCTAACCCTAACCTCTCTAATAAGTTTAGTTAGAGGACTCATATCTCAAACTCATGTAAAAACAAGATTTACCTTCTACCACCCAGCTACATTTTCTGCGTTGTTCTTATATTCTTCGTCCTATGTATTTATAATGTCAGTTCATTGTGATTTACCTTTTTTAATAGAATTTTTAATTTAACTTTATTTATTTTAATTTGACCAGAGAGGGACAGAGTGAGAGAGAAGGGAAGTGAGAAAGCAAGTCGCCAGGTTCAGGACTTAAACCACAGTCAGCTGTGTGGGAGTCCAGTGCATTTAGCTACCATGCCACCTGCCAGCCCTCATTGTGATTTACCTTAAGCCAGAACCTGATGTTCCTGACCCCTGTTCCCTCCTCTTCCACTGCACAACTCAGTTATCATGTCATGTAAAATTTCAGATTGTCGTCAAATTTAAAAACGATGACTTCCAAATTTCTTTTCTTTAAGAGGTCTAAGATCTCAAGGCATGTCAAGTTTTCTCGTGCAGTAGATAAGCCTAAAATGCTATTATATTTTAATAGATGTCCCTTATTAACTAGTTGGTTGTTAGTGACTTCCCTGTAGTGAGGTATTATCCATTTTTACAACCTTTCATTGGAAGCATTTTCCACAGACTAACTCCAGGCTCTGTACCTCTCAACCCTTGTTTAGCTTGGCCTCTCTTTCACACCCACAGTGCTAGGAGCACTAGTACTCACTCTTACCTTAATAAGGTGTCAAGATGCTTAGGTGAAGTGACTCGGTGAAGGCGGAAAGTTCTTGGAAGGCATTGGTAAGCCAGGACAGGTAGCAGTAACTTAACTCACAGGCAGAAGTGACTATGAACCACATCAGTATTTCCCACTGAACTGAAAGCAAGTGTGTTTCCAAATCAACTTCCCTTTAGGCAAACCTAGTTTCACCTGACAAAAACGAGAGTATGATTGAGGAGTGTAGGAGTGGAAGGAGACAGCACTTGCAACTGTTTGTGATATCATACTTTGGAAACTTTTACAACCTATGTCTATGCAAATACATTGTTAGTGCTCCTCTCAGGGCCTTATCTAAAGAGCCCAAAGCTTAAGCGTCATTGGCTCCATGGTACAGCCTTCTCTGACTAAGCTACTTCTCTCTCTTTCATCCACCCTCCTGTCACCCTTCTATCATAAACATTCTTTTCCTCTTTCTGCTTCTCAGTAAGATCAAAGGTAATAGTGATTTGATACAGTTCCCACTGCCTATTCCTTTGGGAAAATACCTTTCTAGTGCCTTTGGCCACAATTCTGGATACATTCCAGATAATAGAACCATTATTATCTGTGCACGAAGTTCTTAGTCCATTATGAGTTAACTAGACCTTTGTAAGCAGCTACCCTGGGAACCTTGCCAAGATGGATGAATAGCTTTATTTTTGTGGAAAAATGCATTTATATTTCCAAACATTAATTCACAACATGAACTCTTCTGAAAATTGGGGAATGTTAACATGGATGTTTACAGAGGTTTAAAAGAAGAGGATACCCAAATCCAGGCTATCTTGGTCATATTTGGTTGATTTGTAGCTCTATTACTCTACTTATTCAGATTAAGTTTTGCTTTAGAGAGCAAATTGAACATACTGTGCTAAGATACTTTGCTATCTTTCACCCTTTTTATTTTCCAATTTTAAAAGTAGTATGTGAAGCTGAAAAATGAGATAAGATCTTCATCATCATTCTTATTTCTTTGGGGAAGTGTTTTTTTTTGTTTTGTTTTGTTTTTTGGTTTTTTTTTTTTTTTTTTTTTTTTTTGCTATAGGGCACGTGTGCTCTCCAGAAAGACAGAGAGAGATAGAAAGCGAGAAATCACCCCCCAGGGGAGATGGCCATGCTGCAATCCCTTCTCCTCCATTCTCCTCTCAGGATCTTGGGTATGCACGTACACGTGCCCTGTGTGAGTTTAAGCCACTGGGTCCAGGACTCAAACTGCGGTCGGCTACATGGGAGTTCAGCGACATAGCCATTACGCTAACTGCTAGTCCCCATCATTCTTATTTCTTAATGACTATTTGTGGCTACAGATGGAAGATTTAGCCTTATTTACTTATTTATTTTTTAATAAAAGAGACAGGGACAGAGGGAAAGTGGGAAATCACTCTTCACGGCCCTTCTCTTCCATCCTGCCCTCAGGATTTTAGACATGCATGCACACATGCCTGGTATGTTTTCCAAGCTCCCAGGTGTGGGACTTGAACCAGGCTTTTAGCCACTTAATCATCTTTGTTTTCTAGCTTTTAGGATTTCATAGATAGCATTCTACTCTCATAATGTGGCTTTTTCTTCCCATGGACAGAAATGACAGAGCAAGTTAGAGTTCATGGTTTAAGAATGCATATACAGGGGTCAACAAGTGGCGTGGTGGTTAAGGCACTGGGCTCCCACATGCCGACCACAGTTCAAGTCCCGGACCTGGTGGCTTTGCTTTCTCACCTTCTGTTTCTCTGTCTCTGGTTAATTTAAAAAATAATGATAACAAATAAAATTAAATAAATTAATAAATCTTAAAAAAAAAAAAAAAAGAATGCATATGCAGGGACCAGCAGGTTGTGCAGTCATTAAGACACTGTACTCTCACATGCCCAACTCCAGTTCGAGTCCCAACTCTGGTTCAAGTCCCAGACCTGGCAACTTGAAAATCACACTGGGTGTGTGTGCATGCATGCTCAAAATCCTAAGAGGAAAATGGAAGAGATGGGATTGTGGCATGACCATTCTCCCGGGGAATGATTTTTTACTTTCCCTCTCACTCTCTATCTCTGTCTCTTGCCGGGAAGTGTACATGCCCTATAGCAAAAACCTTTAAAAAAAAAAGTACATTCAGCATAATAATTATTTGTATATTCCTTATACCTTCTTTTTATTTATTTTTGTTTTAAAATTTTTATTTATTTCTTTCATAAGAGAGCACATGCAAGGGTGAGAGGTGAGAGGGAGAGAAAGAGAGAGACCAATACCTTTGCCAGGGTCTTGTCATGCGTCTTTACCCTTCCCCTGTTCCAGTAGCCGGGATTTGGGGCAAGCATGTCCTAAATTTTCTGCATTTTCTACATCTGCCACTAGTGTAATGCCCACTGACTTCAAAAGAAGTTCTGTATGTGGACTTACAAAGTGAGAGAGGCATGTGATCAGGAATCATGGTAGTTTCGAATTATAGTGCTTTATGGAAGTAGAGTATTTCCTGGGTACTTTATATAAACCAACAGAACACAGCACATCCTTCTTCACTTTCACTATAACAAATAGGCTTCTACGATACTTGAGATTGGAGTATTTAGTATGGCCATTGTGGCAAGCTAGGTAAGCAGTATGGCATTTCAGCAAAGGGCCTTTGGGAAATACACAATAGGTTATTTTCCCTCTGCGTTTCAAGAGTCTGAGCATAGGTAGTTTAGCTATAGAACTTTAAACCTTTGAGAATCAGCCAAGTTATTGCTGACTTGAAATACTACCTTGAAAATGTATTTTGCCTGCTTTCCTTCTGGGGGACTGACTTTATTTGAAGAAAAATATGGGCCCTGGTTGTGCTTGCACAAAACGTGGAGTTTGCAGGACTAGAGAATAACGTGTCCCCAGGGCTTCGTTCCCAGCTCTCAGTACTTTGCTGAGCCTGCTTCTTGCTCCTTTTTACTTTGGGGGTGCCATCAGGTGGCAGCAGCAGGAACTGAAGCTACACTCATGGACCACTCCCTCTTCCGCCAAGCCCTGCCATAAAGCACATTTTTGCTCTTTTTATTTGAGGAAATGAGACTTCTGGATTAAGAGTTATGGAGGAAGAAGTGAATTGACAGTAATGAGGTCAGAGATCTGCCTGGTGGTCAGCCTTTTAAGCTGCCATTTTATTTGTATTCTTTTTTTTTTTATTCAAGAGATTTTTTTTTATGTTATAGGGTATGTGTGTTCTCTGAAGAGACAGAGAGACATAGACAAAAAGTGAGAAATCACCCCCTGGGGGGGATGACCATGCTACAATCCATTCTCCTCAGGATTCTGGGCGTACACACACATGCGCCCAACATGAGATTTAAGCCACTGGGTCTAGAACTTGAACCATAGTCGACTATGTGGGAATCCAGCGACATAACCATTATGACATCTCCTAGTCCCATGTTTGTATTTTTTTAATCCAGCACTTCCAAGAAGAGAATTAGAAATTAATTCCAAGCTTTTCTTCATTAGAAGAAACTTCAGTGCAGTCTTTTCAGTAGCCAGGTGATCCCTCACTTGAGATAGTAGCAAATGTTGCCTCGATTATAGGATATAATGCAGATTGGATGTTTTTGCAGTCAAGAAACATTGATCAGGCATCTGCTACATCCAGTATGGCGTAGTCAGTGTAGGGCACGCTGTGAGGTCTCTGTCCCCGAGCACTTGCAGAGTGGCTGGGGAAGCAGAACACGTGTCTGAAAGTGAAAAGTATGCCAAGTGGCCCAGTGGTTATCGGGTTCCCAGCTACTTAAAGGATATTGTGGAAGAAAACTGGGACTTGGGCATTCAAGGGAAGGGAGTCCTAAGCAGGTAGTGAAGGCATTGTAGAGCCTGGAGGAACTGGCTAGTGTGCATGAGGCTTGGAGAAGAGTAAGGACGTAGGCTCCCCAACGAGAACCCTGTTCAGAAAGCAGTGAGAGACAAGTCCGAGGGTTAAGATGTCAGATCATGAAGCACTTAAACAAGCATTTGACTAGCTGCTGTTATATAAGATTGGGCAAAAGTAAGAGGATAAAATCTATTTCCTGGGTTAATTAAGTTTTGGATGTATCTGTGAGGCAGGTTTAATGTTTTTCCCCTTATTTACGAAATGCTAAAGCTATAAGATGTGTGAATTGAAGGGTTTTGTAACATTTCTTTTATACTTTATAATTTGTAATTCTGTGAAATTAAAAATAACTCTTCTAGGAGGGACGTAATTTTCAGGAAGAGTTGTTTTAATCACATTTAATGGCATTAATTTCAGAGGGAATAGCCGGCTCAGACATGTTAGTTGTAACTTTTTTCGGGGAAAGGGGCGATTTTTATTATAGGGTGTGTGTACTTGCTGGAGAGACAGAAAGCGAGAAATCACCTCTTGGGGAGAATGGCCACATTCTTTTCTCCTCCATTCTCCTCTCAGGATTTTGGGCACGCACACACATGCACCTGGTGTGAGTTTTAAGTTGCTGGGTCTGGACTCAAATTCCACTGTGTAGGAGTTCAACGGCTTACGCCCCTGTTGGTTCCTGTTTGTTTTAACTTTTAAATTGTAAAGGCCAACAACCAGCCTTGTATGATTTGAGTAAAAGAGGGAAAAAACAATGTGAAACTACTGAATCAGAAAACCATGTCTTAGAAGCCAATATACTTGTTAGAGATAGGTGCCCCAATTCTCTGCACTGTGTAACAGCCAAGGCAAAGGGAACTCACAGCTAGTGATGATGCAATATATAGTGACAGACAAATAGCATGGACACTCCCACCACTTAATCTTCAAGAAAAATATTTTCCTTGGGAACCAGCAGTTAGTGTAATGACTATGTCGCTGGACTCCCATGTAGTCGACCGCAGTTCACGTCCCGGACCCGGTGGCTTAAAACTCATGCCGGGCACGTGTGCGTGCATGCCCAAGATCCCGAGAGGAGAATGGAGGAGAAGGGACTGCAGCGTGACCATCCCCCCTGGGGGGTGATTTCTCGCTTTCTGTCTCTATGTCTCTCTCTGTCTGTCTGGCGAGCGCACGCACCCTATAGCGAAAAACCTCTCAAAAAAAAAAAGAAAAATATTTTCCTGTGGGTATTCATAAAGAGAATTCTCATGAGACTTTGTCAATAATACCTCCTTAGCTAATATCGTATCGCATACCAAGCATTCACTTTTTATAATGTCCCCTACACTGATCTATTGCATTAACAACAAAATATGGTTTTCTGGGGACCTGAAACCATACAGTCTGAATAGGCAGCTTTCTGAAGCTCTAAGTTTAATTTAAGAATAAAATATAAGAGTATGTAAACCAGCGATTCTTGACCAATGATTCTCTTTATGTCACGCACTTACTTGGTAAATGGATGGGTCTAGTTCTGTCTTTGCCAATACACATATGCATGTATGATCACACCAAATTTTTGCATGTTATTTTAGGAAATTCACAATTGCAGAGGGTTCACCATCCCTCACTCTACTCCTTCACCTCCCTAGACTAAGTACCCCTGGCCTTGGGGGATAGGAAGAGTACAGTAAACATGGTAAGAGCCTGAAGAGGAAGATGGTGGTACTGATAGGACACATTCATCTGCTTTAACAGGAAGCCAAACTGAAGATGAAATCAATTTCCCATTTATGAAAGTTAATGAGCTTGACAGAACGAAAGATATTTATTTAGCTTTGGTGGTGTATGATCAGGAATGTGATGTTTTTCTTAGCAACTAAATCTAACACACTGAAAAGGGCCCTAAGTCTCATTTTTGTAAAGAGAGCCATGGCCATTTTAGTCTAGAAGAGTTGTAAGGCTGATGTTATCAAGTGCCATCTGAACAACCTATAAAAGTGCGTATTATTGATATTTGGTATTCTTAGTAAAGAGATCATAGACGATCTAACTTGAAACACTTACAGCTTCTTGGTAAACCTAGAATAAAATTCCTTGTGTTCTCTAAAAGCCGAATGACTTTATTTGCTTTGGGAATTGTTTATCATTGAGCCAGTAATATATTAAACATCTTAGTTATCCAGTTCTTTCTGTGTAAGATTTTCATTAACTGTTTTGTTTTATTCATTGCAGTGTGTTAATCTTAGGTGCTTCCGGTGGAGTTGGTACTTTTGCTATACAGGTAAACAGTTTTTCAGTCTTGCAAGCAGGAAGACTTTTTACATGAGTTTGTAACTTCACATTATAAATTATTTTTCCTTAATAGCTAGGAGAAAGGTAGGTATGGTAAATGGATTGTCATTTCAGTTTGCTCTTTTAAGAGGAAGGTGTTGTAATATGGCAGGAAGTGTTAACATTGCTAGAGATTTAGTGTATGAGTGGGTGTGTGGATGTGTCATGTAACAAATGTAGGAAAGCTTTCAGGGGGGAAGACCATGGGCTGTGCAAGTAAATGGAAGTTTGTAATTTGGTAGAAATCTGCTGATGTTAAAAATCAATGAGTTTTCCATTGAAATTTCTGCAGTTTTTATGGGTAGAAATTGGTCAGCTGTTTATTAAATGTATATATAGAAATATAACCAAAATTCTGTTAAGATATCAGTTCTCCCCCCAGAGTGATCTACACATTCAGTGCAATCCCTGTCAAAGTGCCAGCTGCCTCTTTTATGCACAAATGGACAAGATTTTTCTAAAATTTATATAGAATTGCAAAGTGCTCCAAGTAGCAAATAGTCTTCAAAAAGAACAGTCTGAAAACTCACACTTCACAATTTCAAACTATAGTAATCAAAACCATGTGGTGCTGGAATAAAGATAGAATCAGTGGAATAGAACCAAGTGTACAAACCCATAATTTTGTGGCCAGTTGACTGTAAGAAGGATGTGAAGACTAAATATTAAGGAAAAGAATAGTCTCTTTAATAAATGCTACTGGGACAACTAGATGTTCACATGTGAAAGAATGAAGCCATACCCTTATCTCACATCATACAAAAAAAAGGATCATATCTAAAATAAGAGCTAAGGCCATAAAACCTCTTAGAAGAAAGCAATGGTTAAATGGTCATGACAGATTCAGTAACAAAATCTTAGATGTGATACCAAAAGCACCTGCTAACAGAATTTAAAATAGTAAAGTAGACTTTATCAAAATCTGGAGCCAGATGGTTGGTGTAGGGGTGAAACATGATGTTCTATGAGGCAGACTCACAGTGGATACACTGACCACACATATACCCACAACCCAGGCTGGCTAAAGCCAGGAGTAGATCATGGCATCAAGACCCTGTTGGAGTGTTGTATCTGTGTCTGTCTCTCTTGCAAATGGGATAAGTAAAAGAAAATTTAAAAAGAAAATATTTTGTGCATCAAAAGACACTATCAAGGCAGTGAAATAGGGCCAGATGGTGTTGGTCAAATTGATGGTCTATAAAGCTGACCCACATGGGAAGGTTCTAGGTTCACATCTGGAGACCTCCCTGAATACGCATGCATATTCTCTGAAGCTGGCTGAGGTGGGGGATAGGTTGTAATATCAAGACCCTCATGGAGGTGCTCTCTCTCTGTATTTTTCATTTATGGGGAAAAATAATAAATGAATAGACTATTAAAGAAGAAGGCAGTCCACAAAGTGACAGAAGGTATTTGCCAGTCAATCTGATAAGGGTCTGGTATCCAGAATGTATAAAGAACTGTTACAACTCTTTGACAACAGAAAGACCAACAGCCCAATCCAAAAATTAGCTAAGAAATTGAATAGAGATTTCTTCAAAGAATATGTACAAATGACCAATAAGTCTGTGGAAATGTGCCAAGCATCATTAGTCATAAGGGAAATGCAGATGAAAACCACAATGAGATACCATGTCATATCTACTAGAATGGCTGTAATTAACAAACAAACAAAATAATAATAGCAAATGTTGTCAAGGATGTAGAGTAATTAGAACCCTTATGTATTGCTTGTAGGAATATAAAATGGTGCAGCTGCTGTTTGTTCCTCAAAATATTAAACATGGAATTACCAGAGGATCAAGCAGTTGTATTCCTGGGTATACCTGAGAGAAACACAAATGTGCATTCAAACAGAAACTATGAATATTCATAGCAGCACTTTTGAGAAGTAGAAGTCACTCTCATGCCTGCTATTCCACAGAAAATTAAAAGAAAGCAAAAGAATAGAAGAGAGACCTGTAATTTAAGAGACTTAAAAGATACCACATTTTTTAAATATGCAAGACTAAACTGCAGTGTTTAGGAAATGCATATTTGGATGATAAAACTTTTTTTTTTTTTAATGCCAGTAGGTAAATGTCAGGAGAGCAGGCCAGATGGTGGATGGCACAGAGGTAAAATGGGATGCTCTGTGAGGTTTCCACATGGTAATGTTCTGGATTCACTTCCAGAGACCTCTCTGAGTATGCAGAACCTGCACACACCCATGATCCAGAGTTGGCTGAAGCTGGAGGTGGATTGCAGCATCAAGACCCTGCTGGGGCTGCTGTCTCTGTCTGTTGCTCATTGAAGAAATAAATAAATTTTAAAAATAAGTCAGGAAAATGATGATTAATGGAGTAGAGAAAGGAGGACTTGTGTTGAGACAGGACACATGGAAGTGATTTTGGAATGGCTGTAGGTGTTCCATTTCTTTATGTGACTGGTGTCCTTAGAGGTGTTTTCTATTCTTGTGTTTTATTTTATATTAAAATTACTATTTTATTTAAATAATTATTTTATTTAACTTTATTTATTAAATTTGACCAGAGAGGGACAGAGAAAGAGTAGGAAGGAGGGAGGGAGGGAGAAAGAAAGTGAGAAAGCAAGCTGCCAGGTCCGGGAATCGAACTGTGGATATGTAGGAGTTCAGTGACCTTAAGCACCATGCCACCTGCTGACCCAAATTATTTTTGGTTTTATTTATTTATTTATTTGTTTTTTTTGCTATAGGGCTTGGGTGCTTACTGGAGACAGAGAAAGAGAGAGAGAAAGAAGGAAGGTGAGAAAGCACCCGCCAGAGGGCATAGCCATGCTGCAGTACCTTCTCTCTCCTCTAGGGAGTTTGGCACACATGCACATGTGTCCAGTATGTTTTCCAAGCCACCAAGTCTGGGACTGGAACCATGCAGTTGCCGTGTGGAATCCACCTGCCTTAGCTACCACACCATCTACTAGCCCCTTAAAATTTATTTTAAACGTAAACTTTTTAAGATCTTTCGAAATATTCAGAGGTAATACTTCTAAGTGAAAAAAAGAAAAACTAGAAATTTGAAAAATAAGTAAAAGGAATAATAAGCTGTTTTAACGTGAAATTCTGAGGATTTTATGCTGTTTAAAGAAAAGCACACTGTATAGATAGGCGTTTAGAACACAATTTCCTAGATATTGGTGAAAAGAGGGTCACGAAGAACTACTTCTCTTGGATTATATCCTTCACATATTTGAATTCGATTTACGATTTGTTGCTAAAAGCAGCATGTGAGGCCAGCCTGTGGCCTGGTGGTTAAGATGGCGACATCCTACGTGGCCAACTGTGCAGTTTGAGTCCTGGACTTGGTGACTTGAGAAACATACCGGGCATATGGGCATGTGCCCGAAATCCCAAAAGTCGGGAAAAATGAAGGAGAAGCGATTGTGATATGACAGTTCCCCATGGCAAGTGCTTTCCTACTTTTCCTCTCTTTATTGTTGTCTTCCTTTGGCAAATAATAATAATAAAAAAAAAAGCAACATGTCATTAAACTCAAGTGTCTATTTGTAGCCCATGAACATAATAAATTGTATATTCTGTTACTCTTAAATGTTTTAAATCCCCTCAAATGTTCAGGGTTTATCAGTCCTTGGTCAGTATCCTTTTTTTTTTTTTTAAAAAAGTTTCTACCATTGGATATGTGTGCTTAATGGAAAGAGACAAAGAGATAGAATGTGAGATCACCCCCCAGGAGAGATCACCCCCCAGGGGAGATGGTCCTACGGCAGTCCCTTCTCCATTCTTCTCCTGGGATTTTGGGCATGTACACACATGTGTTCATGGTGATTTTCAAGCCACCAGGTCTGGGACTTGAACCATGGTTGGTCATGGGGGAGTCCAGTGCCATAACCACTATGCTGCCTGCTGGCCCTTGTCAGTATTGCTTTTAAAGAGGGAAGTTAGGTAAGATTATAAATTAATTATAAACCCTTTATTTTTTTCATTTAACAGCTGATTCATTACAACTTATGTATGAGTACACAGATTTCATAGTGAATAAAAAAGAATTATAGCAATTTGGAGCAGGATGTTTTTTAGATACTTGATCCTAAATAGCATTAGAATTTAACTCCTTGTTTTCTTTTTCTTTTTTTTTCTTCATGCTATAGTTTGTGCATGTGAGAATGAGAAAGTAATAGAGGGGAGCATCCTTCCCAGGGTCTGATCACGCCATGATCCCCTTCCTTTAATCCTCCAGCTGGATTGGGCACTTGTATATGTGCCTGGTGAGTTTCAGGGTGACCAGACTGGGGATTTGAACCATGGTTGCCATGTAGAATCCAGCTTCTCTTGAGCAGTGCATTACCATTGTGCCACAGAGCTGTCCTAACTCATTCTCAAATCTTGTTATTCCTTACTATTTTAAAATATAAGATGTCTGCATTTTAAAATTTGAGGACCATTTATTTAGGTCTTCTTACTCTGAAGGATCTATGCTTTTTGTTTGTGTCATTTATATATTAATTAACTCCATCAAGGCAGACAGTACCCTCAACACAGTCTTGATGCCGTGATCCACCCTCAGCCTCCGTCAGCCCAGATCACAGGTACACGTGTGCCTGGCATGCTCAGGAAAGTCTCTATAGATGCAAACCTGGAACCCTACTGTGTGGATCAGCCTTGAAAAGGATGACACTTTACTACTGCACCACTGTCCAGCTCCTTGATCCATGTTTTAAAAACATAATGGCCTATTTTTTTCCTCTTTTGTTAAGAATACCTATTTATGGGACCAGCAGTTGGCATAATGGCTATGTCACTGGACTCTCATGTAGTCAACTACAGTTCAAGTCCCAGACCCAGTGGCTTAAACTCATACTGAGTGCATGTGTATGCATGCCCAAGGTCCTGAGAGGAGAATGGAGGAGGAGGGATTGTGGTGTAGCCATCCTGCTGGGGGATGATTTCTCGCTTTCTATCTCTCTGTCTCTCTCTGACTTTCTGGCAAGCACATGCACCCTATAGCAAAAACCTCTCCAAAAAATAAATAAATACCTATTTATGTATGACATGGTATCTAATAGCCAATTTCTATTATTTATTTATTTTTGGTCAAACAGTGGTTACTACATGGGAGTCCAGCGACATAGCCATTAGGCCAACTGCTGGTCCCCTAATACCCAATTTCTTTGGTACATTTTCTGACTCAAGACTGTATTAACATTGGGGAGGCAAAGAAGAAATGTAATATTTTTATATTCTGGACATATTTAAAAGTCATTTTTCTGGGCCAGTTCTGTGGTACAACACTGTTGCACTGCTCAAGGGAAGCCAGATCCCTTATGGTGACCGTGTTCTTATCCCTAGCTTGGTCAGCCTAAAACACTCCTGCCATAGACATGAGAGCTCAAGATCTGATAAGCCGAGGACTGGAGTAAGGAGTTCATGAAGTGATCAAACCCCACGGAAAGTCCCTTTATCTTTCTCTCATTTGCATAGCCCTGTTCTGAGGTGATAGATGGATGATAGGTAGATAGATTTTTTTTTTTTTTTCCATTTGCCTTTGTCATCATTGAATGTGCTAAATTTGAGACTCCCAATTCCTGTCTTTTCTGAGCCAGGCCAGGTACCAGCCCTTCTCTAAATGGATTGGTAGTGACTTCATGGCAACAAGGTGACTGGCTTTCTCATCTAGAGAAAATGAGATCCATTTCTTGGGATTTTCTTAGTGAATAGTGTTTCATCACTTTCACCAGGCTCTCTGACAGATGGCTTCCTATAGTTCTTGTTAAGATGAGGTACTTAAAGTTCTCTAGAGCTTCGTCTGCTCTATGTACACATGGTGCCAAGTAATGTTTTTAAATGCAAATTTTCTGCTTTTTCCCTTTCTTTCGTGGGGGCAGGTAATGAAAGCATGGGATGCTCACGTGACGGCAGTGTGCTCTCAGGATGCCAGTGAACTTGTAAAGAAGCTTGGGGCAGATGATGTGATCGATTACAAATCAGGAAGTGTGGAAGAGCAGTTGAAAAGCTTAAAACCGTATGTATGAGAACACTGTTCACTGTTCACATTGGGAGGGTGGGAACAAGGCCATTCAAAACACGGGTCGGGGATGGTTTGATTGCCTGAGTCATATGACTCTTTGAAAAGCATCCATACAAATATTCCATGTTATTAGCAGTCATTTAGTTTGACTTCTGTTTCTAACTCTGTAGATTTTAATACAGCACAGTAATACACCTTGGTGTGTGCTAAGGAAGGTATTTTGCTTATGTGGTCTTCTAATTTTTAAAAAATATTTATTTATGTTTATTATTTTAATTTGACTACAGAGAGAGAGGGAAAATGAGAAAGCAAGCTGCCAGGTCCAGGACTTGAACTATAGTCAACCATGTGGGAATCCATTGCCTTAATCACCACGCCACCTGCCAACCCCTTCTGCTAATATTTTTAAATGTTAAATTTATTTATTCATTCAGTTACTTTAATTTGACAAGAGAGAGACACAGAAAGTGGGGAAGTGAGAATGGAATCTACAAGGTCCAGGACTTGAACTGTGATCGGCCCTGTGTGAGTGTCTAGCACCTTAGCACAACGCCAGCTGGTCCCCCTTTCTACTAATTTTTAGGTTAACTTTCTTATTATTTTTTTTTAGAGGGAGATTTTTGCAGTAGGGTGTGTGCACTTGCTAGAGAGAGACAGAGAGAGAAAGTGAGAGAAATCACCGCCCAGGGGGATAGCCACATTGTAGTCCCTTCTCTTTCATTCTCCTCTCAGGATTTTGGGCACATGCACGCATAGCTGGTGTAAGTTTTAAGCTGCCAGGTCTGAGACTTGAACCACAGTCAACTACATAGGAGTTCAGTGATGTAACTATTATGCCATCTGCTGGTCTCTTAAGTCAACTTTTATAACGGGTTTGTAAAGGCATAAAGGCAAAATTGGAAGTGTGTTCCCTTCTGGAGCATCTGTCACAGAATAAAGTACATGAAAATACATGACTATGATTAAACACACTTTCAGTGTTTCGGCTTAACAAGGTCTTAAGAGAAGCCATGTCAGTATAAATATTGGTAATGAGAGCATGGTGAATGTTCTCAGTGGTCTGCTTGCCAGGCTGTGGTTTGGCCTCATAAACCAAACAGTAGGTTTAGGAATTCACTCAAGCCCTATTGATCCTTACTGTGACTCCAGTTTATTACTGTGATCTTCATCTAGCCAAGACAAAGCTGAAGCTGAGTGTACAGCTAAGGAGGATTAGGAGAGCTGTTTACTGCTACTATTTGAAAGATTTTCCTTTCTTTTTTCTTTTTTTGTCATTAGTTTCCAGAAGCCAGTTACTTTTGCCTATGTTAAGTAGAAGTACATTTTCATAGGTTAGAAATAAAAAGGGAGCCTCTGGGCCAGCAGGTGACATGGAAGTTAAGATGTACTGGATCTGAAATGGCTGGCTTAACAGTTCGAGTCCTAGACCTGGCAGATTGAGAATCATGCCAGGTACATGTGCCCATAATCCCTAGAAAAGATTGAAGGAAAAGGGATTATGGTGTAGCCATCCCCCTTGGGTAGTGATTTGTCACTCCTCCCTGCTAGCTCTTGCTCTTTGTGTCTCTCTGGTGAGTGTAAAAAATTTTAAAAATGAAAAAAAAAAAAAGTGGGATCCTCAATCTGACATTGCCCAGCCTGTCTCCTCGCAGTGGCTTGGTGGGCTCCCAGGAGAAGCCAGCCACCTCTTCATTCCTTCAGCTACTTACAGAGCATCTATACTTGGCGGGCCGTGTTCCAAACCCTAGATACAGTGGTGAACAATATAAAATCCCCCTTTGTGCTAGAACTTAGGCGTAGTTGGGGAGGTTTTAATGGTACATGCTCCGAAGAAAATTGATGCAGAAAAGCAGGATAGCAAATGACTGGGGAGGAGGTTCTTACAGGCAGGGTGGTTAAAGAATGCCTCTTTGAGGAAGTGACATTGGAGCAGAGGCTTCAGTGAGCAAGGTGTGTGAGTGGGGTTTTTATTCGCCTTGCCCCCTGCCATATCGCTCCAGTTGGAGCAGGGCAGCAGCAGGTAGTAGGTATTCGGTAATGTAGGACAGCAGCTCTTCCAGCTGGAGAGGACAGCAGATATAAACCTCCGCCTGCTCGGGAATATGCTTGGCGTGGTAGAGGACTAATGCTTCCGTTGTGGAGATCTTGCCAGCTACCTTTCTGCCTGTGTGCTAGGGCCTACGCCTCTCTGCGCCTCTGGAAAGTGAGATTATGACAGGTCTCCAAGATCTGCCATTCAGATAGCCACAGGATGGGCTTGATCTCTTACCTTCTGCTGCTAGAGTAGCAGCACGAACCTGAGGTCAAGGCCCGCCATTCCCTTCTGTCTGCCTTCAGGTTTACTCTGTAATGTGTTACCAGAACAAGAGAACCTGACAGATGGAGGCTGGAGGACCCTCAGTCTGCCCTCCCAGCTCTGCGCTGCCCTTCCTCCTCAGCATCTCTGGCAGGTGGTCTTGCTCCTGGTGCTTGTGCTTTTTTAATAGGAAAAGCATGATGTTTGACATCATCCAGATGACCTTGGAAGAGAAAAAGAGGATGATCACCAGCAAATCACCAGTTATTTGCTGTGTTTATCCACACACATTCTGTGTGTAGATCTTTGTTTTAAATACTTTCCAAAGTATTTAAAAGATTGATTGGGTTCTTATCACCTTTAAGTAGAATGTAGTGATTATAGCAGTTTGGGTTTTGTTTTGTTTTGTTTTGCTAGAAGATGTGTGAGCTCACTAGAGAGACAGAAGAACAGAGAGAAAGGTAGAAAATTCTCTCCCCAGGGGAATGACTATGCTGTAGTCCCTTCTCCTTGTGGGATTTTGGGCCTACATGTACATGTGCCTGGCATAAGTTTCAAATCACTGGGTCCAGGACTCAAATCAGGGTCAGCCAAGTGGAGTCCAGTGTCATAACCACCATGCCGCTTGCTGGCCCCCATGGCTATAGCAGTTTTAGGTTAGATTTAAGGGTGTGAATATCTGTCAGTTCCTGTGGATCCCTTATGACTAGATTTTTTTCTTGGGGGAGGAGGCGGGGGAGCTGACAGAGCAGAATTGATGATTGAAGACTGAAAGCAGGCTATTAATTTCTCTTTATGTACTGTCCTAGTGCTCTAAATGAAATCAAAATATAGAAAATTCCAGAAGGTGAAGAGGATACTTCTCTAAGCAATTTCTAATTGTTGAGGAAACCTAAGCAAATCATTCTCTTTTTTTTAGATTTTTGCCATAGGGCATATGTGCTTGCCAGTGACAGAGAGTAAAAATGAAAAATCCCCCCCACCCCCGGGGGGACTGGCCATGTTGTAATCCCTTCGCCATTCTCCTTCTGGGATTTTTGGGCACATGTGCACATGCGCCTGGTTTTTTCTAAGCCACCAGATCTGGAACTTAAACCGCTGAGTTGGCCAAGTGGGATCCAGCACCTTAACCATTTTGCCATCTGCTGGCCTGAGCAAATCATTCTTGTGGGTGATTTTTTTCAAGTATTCATGTATACTAAAGAATATATTTACTTGAATGGAATGGTATCTTTGTAGTTTTTTACAAAGCTTAAGTCAGGGTTTCTCAACCTTGGCAACACTAGTTTCTCAATTATTAATATTTTGGACTAGATACATTTTTGTTGTTGTTGCAAGGGGCTCTTCTGTGCATTATAGAGAGCTAGAATCCCCTTTGGTTCAGAACTGTTTTTTTTTTTTTTTTTTTTCTAGGTACAGAACTGGTTTGTTTTTTTTTTTTTTTAAGGTTTTTTGCCATAAAGCATGTGTGTTTGCTGAAGAGACAGAGGGAAAGTGAGAAATCACCCCCAGGGGGGATGCCTATGGCTTAGCGCCTTCTCCTTCATTCTCCTTTCTGGACTTTGGGCACGCACACACATGCACCTAGTGTGATTTTCTGGTCATTGTTTCTAGGACTTGACCCACCATCAGCCATATGGGAGTCCAGCACCTTAACTACTACACCCTCTGCTGACCCTGTTTAAGTCATTCTTAAGGCATTAGAAAATGATAGGATTTTATGACCAAAAAATTAGTCACATTCAACTTACCTTGGAAAAGAGCCACAGATGCATTTAGTGGGTGTGTCCTTTCTCCTCTGTCCAAGCAACACCCCTCTGCTGGTACAGCATGGTTGATGACCTATCACTAACGTAAACACCATGGCCAACTGGTGACAGGGATCAGAGCCCAGTGTAAAGACTGACAAGAATGCTTTGATTTGGTTCCTTCTCTGCAGGTTTGATTTTATCCTTGACAATGTTGGTGGATCCACTGAAACGTGGGCTCTGAATTTTCTCAAGAAGTGGTCAGGAGCCACCTATGTGACTTTGGTGACTCCCTTCCTCCTGAACATGGACCGTTTGGGCATTGCAGATGGCATGTTGCAGACCGGATTCACTGTGGGTTCCAAGGCATTGAAGGTAGGAAGGAGAGTCACGGTTGGTGAGAGCAGACAGCCACCTCACGCTGCTGGAAATCAGTTTGCCACCCAGCCAGTTTCTCTTCTGTAAGAGACAGCATGGCTTTGTGGCTGTAAGCAGGGACTCTGGAATGCCACCAACCCGGTTCAGATTCTCACTTCTACTTAGTTACTCTGAGACCTTGTGCAAATTATTTAACAGCTCAAAGCCCCCATGCTGTCATCTGTAAAATGAGGCTAATACTATGTCTACCTCATTGCATTGTTGAAAGGATTACATGAGATAATCCATTGGAAGAATTTGACACAACACTTTGCATAGAAAAAACTCTTAGACCCAATCTAGGTGCTAAGTCCTTAGCAGACTGGACCTCAGTGCTGGAGGCTGCATGGCCAGTTGTGGGTTCAGATCCCTGTCCCAGTCCACCTGAGACATGCCAGGCCTGCTGTGCATGCCCAAGATCCTGATCAGCTAAAGGGCTAGAGGAGGGGAATTGGCATGACCAGACACTGCCAAGAGTGTACGTGTTTCTCTCTTTTACTTATGCATGCATGTGCTCCGTTTTATGGGGGGGAGAATCCCATTATTAAATGTTTGCCTTTTATTAACACAACTTTTTAGTTTATTTATTCTTTTCTTCCATGAGAAAAAAGAGACAGAGAAACAGGCATCCCCAACAGGGTCTTCAAACCACCATGCACCTCCAGTCTCAGCCCTGGTCATGGGCATACACATGCACGCCTGGCGTGTAGAGGTAGGCCCAGGATGCAGATCCAGGACCGTCTCATGTGGGTCCAGCATTACAGAGCACCTCGTTACTGAAAGACCCCCGACTTAAAAAGCCGGTAGACCCTTCGGTCTGAGGAGAGTCACAGCGACCCCAATCAACCACAAGAGTCAGATCTTGCTGTAAAGTACAAGAGGATTTTATTGCTAGCGCGCTAGGACTCCACTCCTGGTCACAACAGACCCAGTGGGAAGTGGAGTCCCGAACAAAAGAAACACATAGATTATATAGCCACAAGTTGGAAGGGTGAGGGGAGTGAGGAATGAGGAAATAAGATAAGGGTCTTTTAAGTATGGTTATTTTTTTCTGCTGGCTCTGGCAAGGAGGGTTATTTACGCAAGTGGGTTACAAAGGCATTTTGCAGATGTTGCAACTGAGTCAGGTTAGATACTCAGGGTGGTCTGGTGCTGATTTCCCTGGGGGGAGGGGGTGGTATACATTTTTGCAGGGATCTGGCTCTCTGCACGGAGCTGAGCCGGTATGCAGGAGGCTGAGCAAGTCCCAGTAGCTTACATAGCTCAAGGCTGTTTTTCAAGGTGGCAGCGTAAGCTTTTGTACAGAAGCAAGAAGAGCAAGCAGTTAAGTTTAATTTTTACAGAGTACAGATTGCGCTGAATTTTATTCTTTCATTACTACCGTGCTATTGGCCAGCCCAAACGTTAGCCTTTATTGTGAGATACCGCCTCTCCATTCTGTCTTATATACTATCTCCTTGCCTCCACCCGATGCATGTGCTGTGTCTCACCAGTTTTGACACAGTCTTTGCACATAAAAGTAGAAACTTTAAGACATGTATAGCTGCTAATTTCATGGTAATAGCTTGGGATATACCGGTGATTTCTGGGCTTCAGAATTCTGTGGGCTTCGTTTTTTTTAATTCAAAAACCTGAAAGAAATTTTGCTCTTACTTCAGTGAAGCTTCAGTGGCTATTAGAACCATCATGGCTTTCTTAGTATTGTATCAACTTATCCTAACACTGCATATCCCACGTGATTAAAGACTCTAGCTATTGATAGCATTATGGGAGTTTCTGGGGCTTGATTAGCCAATCTGAGTCTGTTAGTAAGGCCACTGTTACCAGGGCCTTGTGGAGCTCTGTCACTGAATTGAACACGTCAGGCGAGTGGCAGGCCTTGGAGACTAGCACAGATCGGCCTTAGTTAAGGGACTGATAGCAGAGCCCGAGCATAGGGTCTGCTCTCACCTGTTAGCTCGTCTTCATCACGATAGGAATAGAGGCTTGCACAATTTTGTTACTAACTGTTGCTAATTATATAGATCATTGGTTTAAAAATCTGAATTAGTGTTGAATATGTGACAGAAAGAAACAAAGGTAAATTATATTTTTTTCATTTAGACAAAATACTTCAGACACAGGAAAAGGGCAGTAGAAAGTTCCTTAATGGCAGAAAGATTGTAGGTCACAATGTCATGCCAGCCAACACTGAGCAATGTTTGTGAGATGACTGACTGACTGGATAATTATCTTTAGCTGCTGCTTTTTTTTTTTTTTTTTTTTTTTTTTTTAAAGGTTTTGCTTTGGGGTGCATGCCTGAGACAGGGGGAAAATGAGAAATCCACCCCCCCCAAGGAGGATGGCCACACTGCAGTCCCTTCTCCATTCTCCTCTCAGGATCCTAAGTGTGCGCACGCACACACACATACATACACACACACACACATGCCCCATGTGATTTTTAAGCTATCAGGTCCTGGACTTGAACTGTAGTGGGCCATGTGGGAGTCCAGTGCCTTAACCACCATGCCACTTGCTGGCCCCTCGCTGCTTCTTTATTCTAGAAATTGATGGGGACTTTTGGGGGGATGGAATTGATGGAATTGAGGGCTTTGGTTCTGAGTTTCGTGTACTAAATGCGTGGAGGGTGTAAGGCAGTGCCACGATGGAGGAGACTGTGACTCAGTTCTTAGGCGTGTGTGGGGTGGAGACGAACCAGCCAGATGCTGCACTGTGCTGCTCTTTATTTTCATTGATCCAGATGGCAGCCAGGAATAGGGTCTACAGGGTACTTTGTGGTGGAGAAAGGGATTTTAGCTGCCCTTTGTCTCTCTTTTCTCTTTTCACAAACCCCAGCTTTTCCAGTGCTGTAAAAGGTAAGTTTTCTGTAAGATTTCACCGTATGTACTCCAGCGAGCCCTCGCACAAGTTAACCTTCCCAGCCGTCCTCTGAGGATGAAACAGGTGCAGCGCTCTTCACTTTCTCCTTCCCCTACTCGAGCAACGATAGAGGGAATCTCCTGTGTAGACCTTTCAAGCAGTTGCCGATGCCATTGTGAGGAGGTGGCGGTTCCAGCCTCGTTGTCAGGCTTCCTCGTCTCCTGCCTGCTTCAGTTTCCTTTCTCTCCTGTAATGGCCCAGGAAAAAACGTACAGAGATCCCTTGTTGCAGAATAGAAGAACTCTGCAGCTACAGACCAAAAGGTCCACTTTAAAGGGTGACCCGCTATGAAGAGTTACAGATGTGGTCATTGTGACTGTTTCTGTCTCTTCTTTAAGACCCTAAACAGTTACCAGATGTTTTCATTGATGCTCATGAGGGCCAGACCTTGGCAGGTCTTCTGTGATTGTCATTAACCAGGCCCACTGTACGCTTAGGACATTCTCAGTGCTCCTGGCATCAAGCCACATATACCTCCAAACCATTTTTTTTTTCTTCAAGTTTATTTTATTCATTGTATAGAGAGAAGCACCTTAACAGGCTCCCATCCCTCCACATCACTCCTTCCCACAGCTGTCCAGATTGTCAGATCTTGACCATGCGTGCACACGCCTGGATGTTTCCAAGCTGACTCAGGAATCAAACCTACAGCTGGCCATGTGGCTTCCAGCACTGCAGTTCACTTTGCTACTGACTGCCACCAGGCTGGGCCAAAGGTTAACGTGTCCGATGGCTCACTTGAGCTCATAGAGTGTGTGGACAGCATAGTGAGGTTGCTCTGCATAAAGAGCAGCATATCTGAGATTTCTGCCAGCTCCAGCTCTGCCCCGAGGGGTGAGGGAAGTCAGTATCGCACCACACCTACTCTGTAGTCAGCTTGACTGTATATATCTTTTGTTCTGGTCTAATTATTAATGCTAACTTATTTAATTCACAATTTTTCTGGGTTAAATGATGAACTTTACGGTCACAAATAGTAAGTCATTCTTGGTACATCGGTTGGGAAACTTTGCCTAGCCATTTTAGGTTTTTTCCTTTTTCTTTTTTAAGTTTTGCCAGAGGGCACATGTGCTCACCAGAGGGAGGGAGAGGGAGAAAGGCACCCCCCATGGGGAATGATCATACCATAATCCCTTCTCCATTACCCCCTCTTTTCAGGGTTTTGGGCATGCACACACATACACCTTTTATGTTTTTTCAAGCAACTTGATCCAGGATTCAAACCACATGGTATGTGGGATCCAGTCCACCTTATCCACCAGGCCACACTGGCCCTCCTACTACATTCTTAAACTCTGGTTTGCCACTGTCCTTGTTTTCCTCAGTAAGCTTTACTTTCAGTATGCATAAATACTTACTTTCAGTACTGTGCAAGTATTTTTCAGTACTGTAAAATACCTTCTAGGTCAGGCATTTTATATATATTCTTGTTTAATTCTTTGAACCACCTTGTGAATTATCGAAATGTTGAAAAAGTTATGATGTATTTTTTCTATGCAAAAATGCATCATGACTTTTCCAATGTAGTAGATGGTGGTACCAACATTCTGTAGGCCAGGAAATGGACTAAAAGAGGTAGTAGTTTCATCAAAATAATGCAGCTAGCATTCAGTAGTGTAGTGAAGGATTTCCGTCACACTTCTCAACCTCATGTAGTGGTGGCAGCTTATCCACGTGAGGCAGAGGATGAGCTCAGTGGAGAGGAAGTCCAAGCTCACCTGGTGGCTGTGGTAGGTACAGGGAGGGCAGCAGCTTGGTACTGGCATAGCATGTGCACCTCTGGATAGCTCCCGTCTAATGACATTTGGTTGGGTAGATCGTTGAACTATCATAGAGAACTTCAGCTCACTTACTCTTCAGATAATGGCCTACCCTGCCTCTAGCATAAAGAATAACAATTATAAATGGTTATGGCAGTTGTGTGGTCATGAGCCTTATGGTAAAAATATATATTTTTTTATCTTCATCTGGAGAGGTTTTGTCCCATAATAGATTGAATAGCATGCTTTCCATAACTGTAGGAAAAGACCCAGCCATGATGTATAAGGGACCATATACTTTGCCATTAAGGATGGGTTGTTTCTGTCAGATCCAGGAGAACTTATAATTGGCTATCTTTCCTGAGGTCATATTTTGGTATCTGTTGCTCCCAACGCATTTTAAAGTTTATTTATTTATTTCATCAGAGAGTAAGTTGGGCATCAATAGGGTTTTCATGCCATGATCCATTCCCAGCATCAGCCAGCCAAGATCACAGAAAAGTAAGGGGAGACCTTAGGGTGTAAGCCTGGGCCCTTCCCAGGTGGGTCCAGTTGTGTTACCACTGCCTTACCCTGACTCTAAAGCAATTTTGAACTTGGTAAAATTCTCTTTTCTGCTGTCTCTGGACTTTATGCAGACCTTAGTAAGAAAGCCTAGCTGTCTCAGCCCCTAGTTCCTTCTAGGGAAGAAATCTAGAGTGTGAGACTTTCTATCACCATTTTTTGGTTAAGAATTATTTTATTTAACTTTATTCATTTATTTTAATTTGACTAGAGGAAGACTGATGGAGAAAGAGAGAAAGTGAGAAAGCAAGCCGCCAGGTTTGGGGCTCAAACTGTGATTGGCTATGTAGGAGTCCAGTATCCTTAATCACCATGCCACCTGCCAGCCACTATCACTTTTTCTTAAAAGAGATTTTTTTGCTATAGGGAACTCGGTGGAGAGAAAGAGAGACAGAAAGTGAGAAATCACCCCCTGGGGGAGTGGCCACGCTGCAGTCTCCTCCTGGGATATTGGGCACACACATACATGCACCCAGAGTGCATTTCAAGCCTCCAGGTTCAGGGTTCAAACTGCAGTTGACCATGTGGGAATCCAGTGACATAACTAATACACCGTCTGCTGGTCTCAACTCAACTATTTATCATTTTAAGGAGAAGTTTCTTGCGCTTACTTGTCTACCAGTCACTGGTTGGGGAAGAAGCCTGAGTTGAGATAGATACAGCTTTGTTTGTACATTTACTTATTGAACTTTGTGAAGCACCTACTCTCTGTCGGTCACTGTACTAAGGTGCTGGGCCTCCAACTCATTGTGTCAGCCTGAAATGTGAAGTCAGCTTGTCTTAGTCATCTAGAAAATGCTGTTCTCAAAATCGGCGCTTAGCAGGTTTTATCCTTTTCTATATGGGACATGTTTTGTTTCTTCTTTCTAGCATTTCTGGCAAGGAGTCCATTATCGCTGGGCCTTTTTCATGGCCAGCGGACCATATCTAGATGATATCGCGCAACTGGTGGATGCAGGGAAGGTAAGTACATCTGGAAACCTGTACTGAAAACCTTTTATTTGGAAATCTTTTCATACTGTAGCATCTCCCGTAGACCTGCTTACCGAGCCTCCTCACTGCAGCTCTCCAGGGATAGGCTTGGCCAGTGTATGTGCTGCCTTATGTGGCCAAGGTTAAATGCTATATTACTGATTCTGTCTCCACGGGAATAGTAATCACAGATTGCCATGTCTGAGACAGAGCTTACCCAACTCGCCAGCCCCTTGGTTTATAGATAAGAGGCAGGCTCAGGGAGGTTATGTGATTTTTCCCAGACACTGGTTAGGTGATAGTAGAGCTGGAGTCTACACTGGCTGCTAGTATTTTGATAATGGTCCTGGAAAAAGGCAGTCTCTGCACAGGTGAATTTACAGTAGAGCTGCTTCTGGAGCTTCTTTAGTGCAAGGGTGAGGCTGTTCTGGAGGTTTCCAGAAGTAAGGAGTACAAACACTGTGGATTCTAAATCCTACCACAGTTGGGTGAGAAGTCAGGTCTCCAGGTCTCTGACTCCCAGGCTAGTGTAATCAAATCGAGGACAAATAAACGGTGCATCTGAGAAGGTTGCTGACCAGCATGCAGTTTGATGGCGATTTGGGTGGAGGCATCTAGTTATTGTCTCTGACTACTAGTGTCTTTCCTACAGTAGACCTTGAACGAAAGGGACTGTTGCATGTAGTTTAGGCCTTCCTGTTTTGGTGTCAGAAGGCCTCTCAGAGTTCCTGGGAGTTAAAAGGCTTCTCAGCTCTACCCACTTTTTTGGGCTTTTACTTGATCTTAATGGCCTTGACATTCCATCTCTGGAGGAAATACCTCCGAAGGTGAGCTCATTCTGGTGCTGGTGTTTGTGATGCTTAGTGAGAGACCCCATGGGATTACAGGGTGGAGGATCTTGTCCTCTATAGAGGGTTGCACGAGGTCATATGTATAATGATTCCCATTTTATAGATGAGAAAACTGGCTCAGAGGACAGTGGACACGTTAAACCGAAGCAGTGAGACCAGCAGTCACTCCCCTGCCCCCACTCCTATGATTTCCTTCTCCAGCATTCGGCTGCATTCTTCATGCTTGAGGCTCATTTGGGACTTCAGCTTTCATTGTCTCATCCTTGTCATTTTGCAGCGGGCAGGAAAGGGGTTGGAGCAGGGCTAGCATTACCATTGCCAATCCATGGCAGGAGGCTGGAAAGAGCCCCCTAAGGTGGGCTTTGCTCTACTGACAGATGCCACTTGCTGGCCCATTTCATCTTCCTATTTTGATTTGGGAAAGGAACGCTTTTTAGGAATTACTGGCTGCTTTTTGTGCACTTAGGCTTTTTATTCTGTTTACAGCTATGGAGCTTTATGAAAAAAGATGGTCTGTTACAGTTTCCCTAAGTTTTCAGTTCCAAGCTGCATGTCTTTTCTTGGATTTGTAAGTTTTTGTGTGGCCTGGGGAGAAATAGGACTCAGCGTCATTCTGACCATTTAAGTGCCTCTTGTAGGTTCTCCCCCATCCCACAGTTATTTTATTTCTAGGAAGAAGGAACTAAGCTGTCATCAAATAAGTCAGTCGTTCATGTGGTTGGAGCCCCAGTCTCAGAGAGCTCCGTCCTCGTGAAGTACATCACACGGTTGCGCCTACCCATGTCTGCCTCTGACTGTCCACATGCTTTCCACTACTCTTCCGTACTCAAAATTCTGTGACTCTCTCTCTACCCTTAAACTACTGTTTACCCCACAGAGATGAGAGGGGACTTATGTACCTCTGCCTATGAAATTTGGCAGATCGCTGGTATAATGGCTAAAAGAGGACATGGTAGAAAAGATGCCCTTGAAGTGTCCTTTAAGGAAGGTGAGTGAGGAACTGTTCCCTTTGCCTTTGGTTCTCCTCTTTCCAGACCAGGTCATTTGGGCCTGGGAGTCATTTCTAACAGTGATGAGTTCTGGGACTGCGTGACGCTGGATGCAATGATGAGATCAGCTGTCTTGTTCTCTGCTTCTCTGTGGATGTGAGAGGTCACCCTCTGCCTGTACTGGGATTACACAGCAGATCTACGTAACATGTTGTTCTCTGCTTCTCTGGATGTGAGAGGTCACCCTCTGCCTGTACTGGGATTACACAGCAGATCTACGTAACATGTGTGATTAATAGATATTTGTTAAATTGGATGAAGACATTTAAATTTTTCAAGTGGGGTGGCATGGTGGTTAAAGACTCTGGACTCCCACGTGGTTGACCATGGTTTGAATCCCGGACCTGGCAACTCACTTTCTCACTTTCTCTCTCTCTCTCTCTCTGGTCAAATTAAAAAATAATAAGTGAAGTTAAATAAAAATAATTATTTTTTTATTAATAATTATTTTTATTTAACTTTATTATTATTACTACTATTTTCCAGTTTGATCAGAGAGAGAGAAAGAGCGGGAAAATGAGAAAGTAAGCCACCAGGGCCAGGACTTGAACCACAGAAGGCCATGTGAGAGTCCAGCATTTTTAACCACCATACCACCTCCCAGCCCCTAAGTAAAATAATTCTTAAAAAAATTCTTCCAAGCTTTGACTGAGTCCTTAATGAATCTAATGTGCAAGTATCTGTCAGAGGACCTATGGTTGTTTTTTGATAGTGTTAAGGCATGAAATAACAGAGTCAACGCTTTAAAAATACTTTAGGCCCAGTCACAGCGGTACACAGGTAGCACCACCACTTGAGAGGTTAGAAGTTAAACGGTTCTGTTCTGGGCCAAGGTGAACACACTGGGCCCAGTGGCACATGCCTATAATCCTAGCTAAGTGGAAGACTGGGGCAGGAGGATTGTGACACGGTGAGTGCTAATAGGAGGCCAAGGACTCTGCATTTTAAGTGTTCACTCAGATGACTCCTTTCCAGGTAAACGTCATCCAGCAAACAGAGTCCTGTTGAAACAGTTTCATGTTGGACATCCAGGAAACAGCCTGAATGCATTCCATTCTCTCACCAGAGAGCTGTTCTGCTGCGAAGGAGCAATAGGGGTGGCCTCCCCTGCAAAGGCTCCCTCTTT